ATTTTCTTAATGTGTTTACTATTTTTTTTTTAAATTAACACAAAAATTCTTTAACTTAGGGAGGGGGGGGGGTAAATAACTCGAGAATCCTGCGCATAATCTTGAGATATTAAAAGTATTTTGAAGTATCTGAAGCATCTGAAGTTTCGTAAATTATCTAAAGTATTCTAAATTATTTGAAGTTTCATAAATTATCTGAAGTATCGTTAAATATCCTACAGTACCTTATAGTACTCTGTATTAATTTGAAATATCTTGAAATACCTTGAAGTGCTGTAAATTATCTTGAAATATATTCAAATATCCCTTATTGTCTTTCAAGTATTTTTAATTATCTGAATTATCTTCAGTATTTTAAAATATGAAGAAAATTCTAGTATTCTGAATTCGATTAAAATATATTTGTAAATATACTAAATTATCTTGAAGTATTTAAAGTATTTTGAATTATCTGAAGTATCCTGAATTATCTAAAGTGTCCTAAATTATCTGAAGTGTCCTAAATTATCTGAAGTATCTTGGATTATCTAAAGTTCCGGTGAAGTTTTCTGTAGTACTCAGAATAAATTTAAAATATTTTGATATATCCTAAAATACCTTGAAGTACTGTGAATCATCTTGAATTATTTTCAAATATCCTCAATTATCTTGGAAGTATTTAGAATTATCTGAATTATCTGCGGTATTGTAAAATATTCTGAATAATATTGTAGTATTCTGAATTCTATTAAAATATATTTGTAAATATACTAAATTATCTTGAAGTATTTAAAGTATTTTGAATTATCCGAAGTATCTTGAATTATCCGAAGTATCTTGAATTATCTGAAGTATTCTGAATTATCTGAAATTTCGGAGAAGTATCCTGAAGTATCCTGTAGTACTCTAAATTAATTTGAAATATTCTGTAATATCCTAAAATACCTTGAAATACTGTGAATCATCTTCAATTATTTTCAAATATCCTCAATTATCTTGGAAGTATTTAGAATTATCTGAATTATCTGTGGTATTGTAAAATATTCTGAATAATATTGTAGTACTCTGAATTGTATTAAAATATATTTGTAAATATCCTGAATTACCTTTAAGTATTTAAAGTATTTTGAATTATCCGAAGTATCTTGAATTATCTGAAGTATTTTGAATTATCTGAAGTATTTTGAATTATCTGAAGTATTTTGAATTATCTGAAATTTCGGAGAAGTATCCTGAAGTATCCTGAAGTATCCTGTAGTACTTTGAATTAATTTGAAATATTCTGTAATATCCTAAAATACCTTGAAGTGTTGTGAATTATCTTAAAGTATTTTGAAACATCCTGAATTAATTTTAAGTATTTTGAATTATCTAAAGTATTTTGAATTATCTAAAGTATTTTGAATTATCTAAAGTATCCTGAATTATCTGAAGTAACGTGAATTATCTCAAGTATTGTGAAATAATCCGAAGTACCTCTGGAATTATCTAGAAATATTTTCCAATATCCCTAATTCTTTTGTACTATTTTAAAATATTTTGAATTATCTAAAGCACCGTCAAATTATCGTGAAATATCCTGAAGAACCCTGTAGTATTTTATTATTATTTTCCGTTTTAAATTATTAAAAACTGATTCAATTCTTATATGTATATATTCATAAAAAATAAAAAATTGTGAGACTACAGAATAATTATTTTTTCAAGTTTATTATGAAGTTTTTTTTTCTTTTGACGGACGTCCTTGCCGGTAATGACAATAATGGCAAATCGTCGTAATTGTGCCTCCCTCCTCTCTCTCTCTCTCTCTAGGACACCCGAAGGCTCGTCAGGATTTCACACAGGGTTGGCTATAGAGTCGCGACGGTTATCGGAGTCGATCATTCAATTTCGCGTTGCAAATTGTTCGCGCCGGAAACTCATATCCGGGCACTTCCGGTTCTCCCTGGCCCCGCCCCTGAACTGTGAGGGGGGTCTGACGCAGATGAGCGGCGAACTCGCTTCCGGTTGCCTGACTACGAATCATCTCCTCTCTGTCTATTCGCATGTACATATATATATACATACCTATATGAACATATATATATATATATACATTTCTCTATCCTCTCTCTCTCTCTCTCTCTCTCTCTCATTCTCCTATATCCTTCTTTATTCATTGGCATCGACATTTACCCCCCACTCCTTTCTTTTGCTCCAGTGTAATTTTCACCTGCACTACTATCGCTCTTTTAGCTTCAGTGATTTTTATTCTAGAAACGTTCTACTGGGAGGATTATTGTTGCACATGTTTTGAATAAACGCACAACACTCGACGACCTCAACAAAAGAAATTGAGCTAAGTTCCCATGAATAATATTCTGAATTTATTATATCTCATGGAATATTATATAAGATCTAAGACAGGGGAAAAAAATTCCATTTATTTTAATTTTAATTTTTGTATTCAATTAACGAAAGTTTGTCTAGTCACAATGATTTTCAAGTGACACATTGGCCTTTATTCTATTTAAAAAAGGGGTGGAGAAAAGGGCCTTGATAGTTTTCCTAGTTTGAAAACAAATAGGGAAAACTATTTTTTAAATTGAATTTTGTAACAAAAATTATTCGTTTACAAATAGTTACAAAATTTTTTCTATTTTAAATGGGGCTTTGGTTAGGGCCTCAACAGTTTTTCTAGATTTAAAAAAGGACTCTGACTAGAGTGTGACAACAGTTTTCCTAGTTTATAAAAATAAATTTCCAAAATTACCTTTTGAGAACAAGTAATTAATCATTAAAAAAGGGGCAAAATAGGGTAAGTATCCCGTGCGTAGAAATTCCCCTACCAGGGCCCTAGTAGGGAATGAAACGCCACACCTGATCAAGGTCAAATTAGGGCGACCAAAAAATGTGGATTTCCCAATAAGGGACACATTAGGCGCAGCGTTTCATTCCCTAATAGGGCAGCCTGATTAGGCCCCGATCTGGGCCCTGGCAAAATTTCTACACGCGATATAGGAAAACTGCCGAGGACCTGCACAGTTTTTACCTAAGTAAAATTGCAATTAATTGCAATCAGTAACAAAAATAGGAAAAACTAGATAGTTCCCCAACAGATCCATATTTCTGCATGGGAATTTTTTTTAATTTTAGGGCTTTGAGCATAATTCCAGGTGAAATTTCTAAATTTCGATAGATTTAAAATAGATCTTTAGTCAGGGTCTAACCAGTATTTTTAATTTGAAAAATATGTAAATAAACTATTTTCAACAATAAAATTTTTGTAAATTAGTTTCGAGAATGGAATTCGTTGTTTTTTTTTTAGTTTTTTTAAACAGTATATTGAAAAACATGTTTGACACCCGGTACGAGTGATATTTACACTACAGTAGGCGCAGTTGACGGCACGTACCAATTGCTTTCGATCACCCTCACCGTTTACAAACTGAATTTTGCTATCGAATCGAGCGTGCGCTTTTGCATTTTTCCCTGCCCCGTTGAATCGGGTCAAATGCTCTTTTCATCCATCTGCGGGATTCTCTCGGTCTCTCTCTCTCTCTCTCTCTCTCTCTTGCTATCTCTCTTCTTCTCGTTATTTGTTCATTCTCTCATCACCACTCTATTTACCTTTTTGTCTCATTCGCAAACACTGGACAGGATACCTCATTTTATATATACATATATATATATATGTTTTGCAACACGAGTTGTTCATGGAGATTTTTATTCTTCAGGGATTCATTATATCTCGATTGCAAGAGATTTTCAAGTCGGTTGCACTGAAATTGCAAATGATTTCGTAATCAATAATAGTTTTTTTTCTTTTTGTTTGTTTTATTGTTTTGTTTTGTTTTTTTTTATTTGTTATCAACGTTTGCCATTTGCAAAAAAAAATATAAATTCTCATATTGACAATTTTTTAAATAAAAAAATTTCTATTTTGCATTTTTTATAATTGTTTCTTCTCTAGTTTCATTTCAAAAACATAACTAAAAAAGCATAAATATTATAGTTTTCTAATTTTTTTTTTTTTTTGTTTAATTTTACTTTATTTCTAGTTTTTTGATACATTTTGGAAATTGTTTTTTTGGAAAACTAAAAAAAGGTTTTTATTCCCCCCGTGAGATTGAAAGAAAGCCATTTATATATAATGTTTAAAAAAATCGAGTATAAAGAAAAATGTTCAACAATAGAGCAATTTTATGGAGTAAAAATTTGAAAAATTTTTCCCTCTATTTGCGCAAGTTTTTTTTGTCACGTAAAATATTTCAATTTTTCCCAAAAGAAAAAAAAAAAAAAATGTAAAATTGTACAAAATATTTCTCTATTTATTTATAAAAGGAATCTTTTGTTTATTTTATAAATTGAATGAAAAAATTAACCCGAGGAGTAAAATAAATTCTGTTCAGCTACCATTGAAACAAAATTATTTATAATTTATTTATTAAAAAAAAAAAAAATTATTAATGAAAAGAATTATATAATATAATTAAATTATTTCGTTATTCTTTCTTTTTAAAATAAATAATAATTTAGTCCATATATTTTGGTAAATATAAAAAAAAAATTAATTTCTTTTCCTTTTGAGGGAATAATACAAGATTATTATATTTAAAAATTAATAATTTCATTTATTTTTTTCGTCTAGAAACTTGAAAATTTGTTTTGCAAATGAATTCAAATAGAATCTAACTTGAATGATTGTTTCAATAATTAACAGCTGCACCTATAATTTGTTCTCTTAGCAGTCATGCTCTAAATTTTTAAATATCATTTTTCCGCATGAATTGCAATTTATTATTAAAAAAAAAAAAAAATTTTTGCGCGGTCTAGTTATAGAAATGTGCACGTTCTCCACACATATTTTTGACTTGTTTCACGTGACGTGCGAATAAATATTTTTTTCTTAAATTCCACACGTTTCTCATTCGCTAATTCCTAAAGTAATTACAAAGATGAGCAAACTTCAAAAAAATTTTTTTTTTGTATCTCACTCTCCTCTTTAATGCAACTTATATTCTTCTGTCAATACAAAAAGATAACATAAAAAATAAATTGCTACAGACATTCGTTAGTACCAAAGACAGTAAAATCGTTGAGACATTTTTTTATCATCCCAACAAGAAGTTAGGCAAAATTATTGATAGGTAATTTTTAATAGAATAATTAAGAAATTGGATCGCAAAACAAATCTTAACAGAAAAATTGTGATTTAATTTAAAAATTGAAATTGTTTTATTCGAGAGTGATAAAAGTGAATAATAATAATAGTAGTAAATGATGCAATTGGTTTGTCGCGCTACTTGAAATTCAAAGGAACCAAATTTTCCGGAAATAAATTTTCCTCAAGTTCTATGTGAAAAGGACGAGGAAGAAATAAGATGGAGGGCAAAATGGATGATGGAAAGAGCAACCGAACAAATGCCGAGGTTGACTTCGACTAACTGAAAAGTTTGACGCATTGTCGTGGAATAAACGCAGAAAGGATTGTTGCACGACGTTCATTTCATGCAGAAAACTTTAAAATGTTATCCTGCTTTCTTTTGCGGTTTCTTCCTCCATTCCCCCCATTTTTATTTTCTCTCCTTTTTTCCCCATAATTTCTCTCTCTTTTTCAATAACTCAAGTATCCATAATTAGGTCCATTCGACAAGAGAAGATTATATAGAAAAAGAAAAAAATAAAATGACGAATAACACATTTAAGTAAGTAAAACTCTCGCATATATATACAATAAATTAAACTTTCCTAACTTTCTTCTATATATATAAACTTTTCGTTGAAAGTTCCAATTGAATTGCAATCTACGAAATACACATCGATCACTTTTCCTGCGAATTAACTTGGGTAGTTATTATAAGTTTCTGTTGAGTGCGAGAGGCAATCGATTGGAATTTTTTTTTTGTTATTATTAATATAACAAATAATAATTTTCAACAGCCACGAAGGAAAAGATGGTGCAGTTCTACAAATTAATTCTGATGGCTATAATCACAATTTTTCTGATAATTTATCGATCGATATTGAGAATGCAAGTTGCACACATTCTCGAAACAGGTCACCGATACCAAGACGAGGAAGTATTTCCTTGAGTGCAGTTGTTCATCACCGAAGAGCTATCTTTGGGTGAGAATTTTTTTTTCTAATTTTAATTATAATTGAATTATTTTGTATAATTTAAATTTAATTATTTTGCTTAATTTTAATTTAATTATTTTGCATAATTTTAATTATATAATTCAATTATTTTAAAATAATTTTAATTATAGTTATTTCATATAATTTAATTATTTTTGTATTAATTTAAATTTAATACATAAAATTTCAATTGTTTTATAATTATTAATTATTAAATATAATAATATATAAATACTATATTTAAAAAAAAAAAAAATTTTAAGCCATATATATATAAATTAATCAATTTCTCGTGAAGGAAAAAGAAAAACATTTATTGACTCTCCCGACTTCATGCGACTTTTATCAGAACTGAATTCCAATTCAAGAGTACATCTTTGGAATTTCTCCAGGAACTCTCAATGAAGATTAGTTAATTAAGAAACAAGAACACGATTGATTAAAAATTGAATTAAATTCTTATCAATCTCAATATACATTTTCCAGCGCTTGAGAGAAGCGTTTTTTTCGCAACTTTTTCATTTTTTTTTTTTTTTTGTAAATTGTTTGGGAAAAAAAAAATTTGTAATTATTGTAAAATTAACTTTTCTTGGTGTTAGTCTTAATAAACAAATTTTAAATACTTTTGTACATATATATATATATATATATCGGGGTAAAACAAATTCGTGTTATTTGGCTTCCTTAATAGTTTTCTCTTTGTAAAAGGCCAGAGATGGATTTCAATAATGAATTCAAGCATAATTCTCAGCAGCCTTGCAAATTCAAACGCTTCTCATTAGTAAATACCTTTGCTATTCCGATGAATTCAGAGGTACATAGTCTAAATCCGTAAAGGGGTTCAAAATGATATATATTCTATATATTAAGACCATGAGGAAAATAATGCAAATTAAATCTTAAGACACGTAACATCTATAGAGAAATATGAGATGCAAATTACTTATACGTATATACTCTATAAACAAAAACAAAACTCTATTTATAAATAAAGAAATAATTATTGCTTCTTTATATATTTTTTAAAAAAAATTAATTTCATTTTTTTTAATTTCATAAAAAAAAAATTTTCTATAATTTTATACACAGCGAATTTTTCAAATATTATTTTTTTAAATATTTTATTTAACGTTGAAAATAATTTTTTCCCTTTATAATAGGTACTGATATATTAATACGATATTAAAATATCGTTTCAATTTAAAATTCATTAAATTTTCATAGCGCACTCATATCAAGGATGGGAAGTAACATTTCTCTACCATCGACTTTAAATCAAGATCAGGATTTACCATTAAATAACCCATCAACATATAATCAAATAGCACAAATTGCTCCTATGAATTTATCTCAGCCAATGGAGAATTTAGATTCTGAGAATAATAATTTACAAGAACAATTAATGCAATTGACGCCTGTAAATACAGAAAATATTCCACTTTCTAATTTGAGTGTTAAAGGTATTATTTGAAAATTTTAATTTTTACTTTCTTTTTTATTTTATTTTGTATTTTGTTTTTTTTAGAATTTAATTTTTTCCCCATTTTTAAATTTGTATTTAGAAATTATGAATTTCAGGAAGTATTTCAGTAAGTAGAGTACAAAATCGGTCACGTTCTAAGAAAAATAGTCATGCTCCACATGCAGAGATTATATCTTCTATAAGTATACTTTACGCTAAGTTATTAATAGTTGTTGGGGTTGCTATTCCAGTAACGGCAAGTGTAAGTCAACAAGTTCCTCCCGCTTTGGATCAGGTAAACTTTATAATCAGTAATTATTCATATGAAAAATTACATATTTTTTCAACTCAGTTCCAACATGTCTCTTTTTTCAAAAAAAAAGCGATTTTTTTATTCCGCGTATATTTTTTAACAAAAAAGTAAACACTACTATATTTACAAAAGCGAAAAAAAATTAATTATTTTTTAAAGAGCGAATAAATGGTGCAAAATTTTTTTTATTGGAAAAAATTAATTGAAATCTCAAAATTAAATATTTAAATGTTTTCAAATTATATTCGTGCGGTATTTCGTAATATATATATTTTTTTTTTTCATTATGTTCTATTTCTTTTAAATCTATATATAAATAAAACGAAGCAATTTAAATGCAGAACTTTCATCGAAATTGTAGATGGAAATGATGCGAAAATATGGATTTATAATTTAATTCAGGAATTAACTCAATTTCATGCCGAATATCGCAATCAATTAACTATATATTCAAAGTGAGAGATATATATATCTGAATTTAAATACGCGCGTGAAAATAATAATAATAATAAAAAAAAAAATTCAGCTTAAAGAGTATAATTTTTCGTTGTTGAAGATATTATTAAAAAAAAAAAAATTTTTTTTTCTATTTTTATCCTCGCACACAATTTACTTTTTATAATAATTAATCGCACTATTTTTTTTCACAGGGATTTTATCTTTATCTTTATATAGTTAGCGTTGTATTTCTCATTACTTTGTATTCAACATTACTCAGAGACAAGGCTGTCAAGAATTTATTAGTGAAACATGCCAAACGAGAAGAAAGATATAACACGAATGAAAATTCTAAAATGGAAATTAACGTAAGTAAAATGAATTCTAAAAAGAATTCTAAAAAGTATTCTAAAAAGTATCTTTTCCCTGTTTTTTTTTTACAGAAATATTTCTAGCAATTCTTTTATTCGAAATATTAAAAACGTTGCAAAAAAAAATATGTCTATCAAATAAATATTTATTTCGAACAAATAACTTTAAATTGAATCAAATAAACTGTATTCAAATCAATAATTTTTGTATTTAAAATAAATACCTTTTAATTGACTCGAATAATAATTGATACTCTCTAAATTTGAATCAGTGAATTTCACTGCTAACCAGTTATAAGTATACCAAACCAATGAAATTTGACTGTTTGGTTCAGTAAAATTTCACTTGGTATACTTATAACTGGTTAGCAGTGAAATTCACTGATTCAAATTTAGAAAGTACAAAAACAAATATTTATTTGATACAAGTAAATATTTAGTTGATATGGAAATAAATATTTATAAAAATTTTTTTCACTAAATCGAAAGGAAATTTTTTTCAAATTCAATTTCTATTATTTTATAGAAATAGATTTGCTATAAAAAAAATATATATACAATGTTTGTTGGGTAATTAGTTGGGGGATGATTACAAACAAACGGCCAAAAACCATTTTCATCGTCGACAAGTTCAGCAATACGGGAGCTTTTGTTTGCGACTGGGGACCGTTGGTTTTGGAGCAGGGTCGTTAGTATTTACCGGATTGCAAATTGGCGCGGAAATAGTATCCGGACCATTTAGAGCTATTACCCCAACAGCAAGGCTCCTATTGGTGATGGCTCAGATGCATTTTATATTTTTAAATAGTAAATGTTTAGAGCTCACGAAACATGGTGCTTTTGCAAAATTGGGTTTAATGCATATGATTGCCACAAATCTTTGCGAATGGTTACAGGTGATTTCAATTTAATTTACTACTTATTTAAAAAAAAGTAAAACAAATTTTTACCTGAAACAGAGATAGGTTTCAAACAGCGAAAATTTTCGTAATTCTAGAGAAATGTATCGCTGTTACAGATAAAGATTTTTTTTTTCCGTGTAACGAAAAAAAATAAGGGAGAATATTTTTAAAATGATTTTCCATTTATGAAAATATTTTAAAAATTTTCTCAGCTAAATTAGCAGAACAAACAAATTTTCCAAATTTACACAAAGGGATCAAAAAGTTTCACCTATTACATGAATTCTGACAACAAATTCTCCCTTTACAAATATTTACGCAGAAAATTTAATTAATACTACTTCAAAATAGATTTCAAAGTTTATTAAATTAATCGTTAAATCGAAAACTTTTTAATATTATAATATAAAATGAAAAAAAAGGTTCACAAAAGTCAAAGGGAAAAGTAAAAAATAAAATTTCCAAAAATAATTTTATTAAATTTTCGAGTGTTTTTGAAATATTTAATTGACTATTTGGAAAAATTGTTTTTCTTTATTTATTTTTTTGTTTTTAAATTCATATGAAACAAAAACTGTGTGAAACAAGTTTGAAAACGAAAAGGGGGGTATAAGAAAGGGGATTGAGGCGGGAATTAAAATATCCTCAGGCTATGTCGATAACCTCGACTTCAACGACAATCCTTATTCTCCTATTTCCCAGGCACTGGTAGAGGAAACACAGCATGAGATCGTCCAATTGGAACACGCGCACGAGGGTGACGACGGCATCCTAAAAACCCTTCTCAGAGATGCAAGTCCTTTCCTATTTCCATGCACGATCGAGTTCAGTTTAATCTGCGCAGTCATTCTATTTGAAATGTGGAAATGCGTTGACAAAAGAGTCACTAACTCAACGAAATATGAATCCTCAGCAAGATCCCTTCATCATCTTAGTATCGATTGCGGTAGTGCTCATAGGTGAGATTTATATTATAATTCAATTTTTTTTCCTAATTATTGATTTTTATAATTATTTTCCCAACAAGAAAAATTCAAAAAAAAAAAAAAGAATTTTTAGTTAATTTAAAAGCTTGATAAAATTATTTTAAAAATTAAAAAATATTTTTTGGGCACAGGGGTTTATTTGGAGGTATTCTAATAATAGCAGCGACCGTATTGAGCCTGATAATGTTTTTTGTATTGAAAGATTCTCAACCAAAAATTGCAATTCAACAAGTAACGGCCCTAGAGATTGCAATTCAAATTTCAGGTGAGGGAGAACATAATTACTTTCCAAATTAGGATCAGATTGGAATTTAGCGACTAATGCAATTTAAAAATGTTTCTAATTCACTACACAGAAAAAACTTGGACTCATTTTTGTTGCAACTCATTTTCTTTTGGGTATCGAAATGAGTATGGGACAAACTTCATGTTATTCAAAATGATATTGGCTGGAATTTCAGATTTCTAAGTTGGCATCATAAGCAGAGTAATTTTGTATTTCAATTATTGTTTCTAATATTTCAACAACACCAGAAAGATTATTTTGACCAGTACGAATATTTAGAAGTTTTTAAATAAAAATTATTTATTATTATTTACGTAGATAATAATTAATTTCATAAGTTTTTAAATTTACCGCTATTATTTAAGTTGGCAGTACCGTTCCTGTTGTCAAAACACATGTTTTCATTTTTCTAACCTAAAAACATATTTCCTTTATTATTTTATTACGCGATTACAAGCAATTTTTAATCAAATATATTAAGTCTAGCGTGTTATTTACTTCTTTGTAATTATTATATTTCATGTTTTTGTGCAAAATTATTCGTTATTTCACAATATTTTTCCATTTTTCTTTTTCTCAAAATGAAACTTGCCTGTTTCATTTTGATACTTTTACCCTAGAACTCGAAATGAAACAACCAGTTTCATTTTTGTTGCGAATCAAATTGAGTATAGAATCTATACTCAATTTGAATTCAGGTTTTTTCTGTGTAATATTTCACTGAAAATAAATAGAATTATTACTAATCCAAATAGGCAAATTTTATTATCAATAATCAAAACAGTAGAATTATCACTGATTTAAATAGCTGAATCTGTTTTACCACCAATTGGTAAAATTTGACTACAATTGGTAATAATTCACCTATCAACAATTGGTAAAACAGATTTGGCCATTTAAATCGGTAATAATTCTACTTTATCAGCAATCGGTAGAAAAGAATTTTTTTTAAAATAAGAAATTAATATCAATTTTCAAAAAAAGGTAAGCAAATCCCTGCTATGGAATAAACGCGTTAATATTACAGGTGCTCTGGCTGCTATTGGGGCAGCGCTCAAGTTACAAAATCTCGAGCACAAGAACACGAAGCCACCGAGACTTGACGCCACTTTATTAGCGGCAGCTCAAGCCGGTGTATATCTTCACAGCTTCTTTGGTGCAGTAGGTGGAATCTTAACACGAGGACCTATATGGGGACTTCTTCTAGGCTTGGACTTCCTCGCTCTACTACAAAGTACCATGCAAACTTTGCTCATCAAGGTAAAATTCGCTTCACGTGACGCGAGATAGATAAAAAAAATAAATAAAAGTGAGAAATAAGGGAATTTTCAAAACTTTTTTTTTCTATCAACTTTCAGATCGCTTGGCGACGAAGATCAACAACAAATGAAAAACCCGGTAAGGAGCTAATAACATTTTTGATTGTCGTTAATGTGGCACTTTGGACGGTAAATACATTTGAAAAATCAAGAGCTGGAGTAAGACCCGATCATTTAAGATTTTTTGGTGTCTGGGCTTGGACAATAATTATTCATGTCTCAATGCCATTGGCTATTTTTTATCGATTTCATTCGGCTATTTGTCTTTTTGAAGTTTGGAAAAGTTGCTATAAATATCGACCCGTTGGTGATTGTCACAGATTTTCTCATCGACATTGTATTGATCAATAAATGATATAACTAATCGATAAATCATGAACAAAATATTTTAAAGAATTAGTGAAAAAAGTAGTAAAATTTTATACTGAGATATATTTAGTAAATAAAATTTTCAATAAAAGCTATTAAAATTGATTTAAATTTTTACTGTTACAATAAAATGTAATATAATAAAAAAATGATTTCATTTTCCTACATTTATTTATAAAAGGGAATGTTTCAAGTAAAACGTATAAAAAGAAGGATTCTTTTTTTGCATAAAATTTCTCTCACATTAGAGGACTTTTTGTCTGATTAACACTTTTCGCTACTACTAATAGTTTCGTCTGATTGAAATTGACTTTTACTACTGATACTAAAGCAAGAAATATGTCTGATCGAAACTAACTTATATACTACTTAATGAATGGAAATAATTTACAAATTTTCTGGATAAACCTGTTATTTACAACTGATGATAAAATTACACAAATTTCCATTGTCCAGTTTGATTAAAAATGGGGTTTACTACTGATAATGAACTAATGAGAATTTGATAGAAAATCTGTCTTACTGAAACTTACATTTATGAAAATGTGCCAAAACAAATTCAAAAAATTTAAAAAGGGTTTTTCTGACTACAACTTTTTATTACTACTAATAAATAAATTACAGAAATTCACAACATTTGATCTGATTGAAAATTACTTTCACTACTAATACAAAAATATATAATAATTCTATCCGACTTAAATTAACTTTTACTACTCATGCACTGTAGAGTTAATTAAAATTAAAACAAAAAATCCATTTCCAACAAATTGAAAATGTTAAAAAACATTGACAAGTAAAGGAAACATCAATTTGAACTTTTTTTTTTAACATCTAAGTTAATTTCACAAAAGATTTTCACGTCAAGGTTGTGGATCCTCGAGTGGTGATGGGGCAAAAAGAAAAGGAAAAATATACAAGAAAGATGTATGTGTATAGTGGTCGTTTTCCGGATAAACAGTGGACTGGATACCAATTTGGAAAAAGGCCGACCATATATATACATACATACAGAGAGAGAGAGAGAGAGAAAAAAAGTTTTTTTCATCGACGTGTACAGGATGCAAGAGTCGACAGTTTGATACGGTTTACGGTAAACACATTTTGATGGCAATCACGTCACGGAGAGCAAGCGGGTCGACTACATATAGAAGCGGGAACGAGGAGTTGCGGAGGGCTGAGTGGTCTACCAGTGGTTCAGTGAAGGGCTCTTAGCAACCCTTTGTTGCTCCTGCTCGGGCCAAAGGCCTCTGATTTACTTAGTCCATCGAGTGCTCTTGGACTTGTCGACCAAGAACTACTCTCTCCTCTCTCTCTCTCCTCACTCTCTAGCTTGCTTTCGTCAAAATTCCAGATTCAATTGGTAAGAAAAAAATTAAATTAAAAGAAAAAATAAAAATCACAAGAAACATCTTAATTTTCCAATTTTATCTCATACGATTATTTTTCTGAAGCAGAAATAAGCTCGAAAATTAATTTATTATTTTCATTGAATTGGATTTGCAAATTCGTGTCAAAATTGTTTCTGCTGAATGTTTATTCGAAATTTCGAACAAATATAAATTCGGGTAAAAAAAATTCTATCTAATAAAATTCAATCATATAAAAATTCGGATAAAACTAATTGTAGTCATTATTCATGCATATTCAAGATCCACTTATCCCAAGAGTAAAAATAATAAAATTTAGAACAATTCGAAACAAAAGAGCACCTAAATTGAAGAAATTTTTGGAAAAAAAGTAAAACAAAAGAAATATTGAGGTGATCAACTGGAGATGCCATTCACGTTTTCAATTTGCTTTTGTTTTTCTTGTACATCTAACGAGGATTTACAGCTGTTGGAAGCCCCTTATATAGGCGACAGTTTCAACACAAGTGCAACCATCAGACGAAACGAAGCGAGGATCTTTAGTGCGGTTCACGATATACATTGGTTGGGCTATACCTATATAAATAAATATATACAGAGAGAGAGAGAGAGAGAGAGAGAGAGAGAGAGAGAGAGAGAGAGAAAAGAGGATCTATAGTGGATTCGTATTGGTGATAAGTCCTGATGGTTGTCAGAAGGTTGGAAAAGTCGACAAGGCTTGTAACCCCTGCTGTTCCAATAGCAAATCTGCCTGTTGGATATATAGAAAACAACTGCGATGACGTGAAAACGTAAAAACACCTTGATATATCCGCCAAACACAGAGGATCCCGGATTTATCGAGCCTCGGATAATGGATGGGCTCCTAGCTTAAGAAATATGCATATTTTTTTTTATTTTAAATATTATTTCTAAAAATCCAAATCCCTAGAATGAGAGTTGCACCAGAAGAAAATGGTAAACATTTATCTTTAAAAATTTTAATTAATTTATTATTATAGGTAAAAATCAACTGCACATAGATTAAAAATAAATGTACGGAAAAAAGATTTATCTGCAATAGGAAACGTTTCCAATAATGGAATCACAGAAAATTAAAAGGCATAAAAATAAGCTGCAACACTTATTATTTTAATCCAATTTTCCTTATTGTAATCCCTTTTAGTATTAAAATATGCAAAATTGGATTAAAATACTGACCGTTGCAGCTTATTTTAATACTTTATAATTTCCGTGCAACTATTACTAATATAATTTTATATCATAATTAATAAAGTAAGTTTTACTCTACGGACACTTTTCATATTGTAATTTTTATATATAAATTACAGTCAAACATAAGTAAGATACAAAAACATCTATATCTCGCATTAAATAATGTAATGAGTTGACTACAAATAATGAATGGCGCACTTTATGATTGGTCCAGCGGATGCTGAGATACACTCAAATAAAATTCGGAAAAATTTTCGAAAAATTATATTTTCGAGATAACTGCTCCGGAACACCACCAATAAAATAGGGAAAAGGTTTCGAACAAAAAATGTATGGGGCACTTTTTGATTGGTCCAGCGGATGCTGAGCTACACTCAGATAAATTTTTTAAAAAACTTCGAAAAATTAAATTTGCGAGATAAATGGTCGGGAATATCTCCAAAGTAGTTAGAAGAAAGTTCTGAACAAAAAATATATGGCACACTTTTTGATTGGTCCAGCGGATGCTGAGCTACACTCATATAAATTTTTTAAAAAATTTCGAAAAATTAAATTTGCGAGATAATTGGTCGGGAATATCTCCAAAGTAGTTAGAAGAAAGTTCTGAACAAAAAATATATGGCACACTTTTTGATTGGTCCAGCGGATGCTGAGCTACACTCATATAAATTTTTTAAAAAATTTCGAAAAATTAAATTTGCGAGATAATTGGTCGGGAATATCTCCAAAGTAGTTAGAAGAAAGTTCTGAACAAAAAATATATGGCACACTTTTTGATTGGTCCAGCGGATGCTGAGCTACACTCATATAAATTTTTTAAAAAATTTCGAAAAATTAAATTTGCGAGATAATTGGTCGGGAATACCGCCAAAGTCTTAACCCGGGAGTCTCGAACAAAAAATGTATGGCGCACTTTTTGATTGGTCCAGCGGATGCTGAGCTACACTCATATAAATTTTTTAAAAAATTTCGAAAAATTAAATTTGCGAGATAATTGGTCGGGAATACCGCCAAAGTCTTAACCCGGGAGTCTCGAACAAAAAATATATGGCACACTTTTTGATTGGTCCAGCGGATGCTGAGCTACACTCATATAAATTTTTTAAAAAATTTCGAAAAATTAAATTTGCGAGATAATTGGTCGGGAATACCGCCAAAGTCTTAACCCGGGAGTCTCGAACAAAAAATATATGGCACACTTTTTGATTGGTCCAGCCGATGCTGAGCTACACTCATATAAATTTTTTAAAAAATTTCGAAAAATTAAATTTGCGAGATAATTGGTCGGGAATACCGCCAAAGTCTTAACCCGGGAGTCTCGAACAAAAAATGTATGGCGCACTTTTTGATTGGTCCAGCGGATGCTGAGCTACACTCATATAAATTTTTTAAAAAATTTCGAAAAATTAAATTTGCGAGATAATTGGTCGGGAATACCGCCAAAGTCTTAACCCGGGAGTCTCGAACAAAAAATATATGGCACACTTTTTGATTGGTCCAGCGGATGCTGAGCTACACTCATATAAATTTTTTAAAAAATTTCGAAAAATTAAATTTGCGAGATAATTGGTCGGGAATATCTCCAAAGTAGTTAGAAGAAAGTTCTGAACAAAAAATATATGGCACACTTTTTGATTGGTCCAGCGGATGCTGAGCTACACTCATATAAATTTTTTAAAAAATTTCGAAAAATTAAATTTGCGAGATAATTGGTCGGGAATACCGCCAAAGTCTTAACCCGGGAGTCTCGAACAAAAAAAGTATGGCGCACTTTTTGATTGATCGAGCGGATGCTGAGCTACACTCATATAAATTTTTTAAAAAATTGCGAAAAATTAAATTTGCGAGATAATTGGTCGGGAATACCGCCAAAGTCTTAACCCGGGAGTCTCGAACAAAAAATATATGGCACACTTTTTGATTGGTCCAGCGGATGCTGAGCTACACTCATATAAATTTTTTAAAAAATTTCGAAAAATTAAATTTGCGAGATAATTGGTCGGGAATACCGCCAAAGTCTTAACCCGGGAGTCTCGAACAAAAAATGTATGGCGCACTTTTTGATTGGTCCAGCGGATGCTGAGCTACACTCATATAAATTTTTTAAAAAATTTCGAAAAATTAAATTTGCGAGATAATTGGTCGGGAATACCGCCAAAGTCTTAACCCGGGAGTCTCGAACAAAAAATATATGGCACACTTTTTGATTGGTCCAGCGGATGCTGAGCTACACTCATATAAATTTTTTAAAAAATTTCGAAAAATTAAATTTGCGAGGTAATTGGTCGGGAATACCGCTAAAGTCTTAACCCGGGAGTCTCGAACAAAAAATGTATGGCGCACTTTTTTATTGGTCCAGCGGATGCTGAGCTACACTCATATAAATTTTTTAAAAAATTTCGAAAAATTAAATTTGCGAGATAATTGGTCGGGAATACCGCCAAAGTCTTAACCCGGGAGTCTCGAACAAAAAATGTATGGCACACTTTTTTATTGGTCCAGCGGATGCTGAGCTACACTCATATAAATTTTTTTAAAAATTTCGAAAAATTAAATTTGCGAGA